GAATATGAAGGGCAAAAAGCAAGGCAGTAATATCAAGATTTTAGGTGATTTTCCAAGCCAAATTACTCACTGATGCTGACGTCACAGCTCGATGACATCACACTAACTAGTTAGGGGCGGGTCTGCTGAATGTCCTGAAATGTGTATCATGTCTGTAGCTTATGTAGTTATGAAGACTAGAAGTGACCTATCGTTTTTGCTCTGGGTTCTATTAAACAACTGCCAAGATGACAAATTCACAATAAAAATTGTTGATGAATTATTAATATCTTTATTAGAGAAGTGCATTTTTTAAAGGTCACATAATTAAATAAACTGCCACACAGAATCAAGACCAAGAAAAACTTTGCTGTCACTGCAACTGTACACAAGTATAGCGTGCATGGCTCAAAATATGACCTGCCATTCTAGATTTCTCTCCGAGTCATATGGCTGTGTTCGTTTCTGTTCACTGCAGCTTCATCTCCCTTATTATTCACTGTCATTGCTACAATTTCACAATTTTAATTACAAGATAAAACAGAAAAAGGCTTGTAATAAAAGTGTATCGGCTGTGGTTGGAGGCAGGGAACAGCAGCACTTAGCCAAGCAGCTAAACTAGCAGCTACCTCTGCTGTTTCTATGTGTATCAGCTTTTTTTTTATTTCTTGAGCAGCCATTGATTGCAGCTCTACAAATACTACTATTAGTAGCAATACTAATATTATTAATATTATAACAGAGTGATTCCCTCGGACTACACAAGAACCACATTATATCCCAGCAGAACAGTGAAGATTAGTAAAATCTTGGCAGATCTTAATTCCACACTGTTGTTCGTTGATCTGGGAGTCGGCTGTGGTAAAAAAAGAAAACACTGTGTGAAGAAAAGATCGAATGATGATCCAAGAATGTGTACATTTTTACAGATTTATTTGCTGAGGCACAAACTGAACTGAACAAATGTAACTGCAGTGCGATTTAAATCTGGTTCTAGACGGCTGAAGTCCAGTTTGATGATTTTCTTGTTCAAACAGCCCTGATTCTCATCGGCTGTGGAGTTGGCTGTTATCATTAACATCAATGCATGTACGAGTGTAAAAACCTGTGCGTGTTAAACGAAGCTTGAAAACTTAATATGGCATGTATTAATGCCTGTTTTAGAGATAATTAGTTTAACTGTCCTCTTCATTATGTAGTCAGTTTCTGACCACTGACCACTGTCTGCTGGATCGTTTTGTTTGACAGACTATTCTGAGTTAGTATTAATGTACACAGTGCATCCCTTCACCTCTTTAGGCAGCATCTTATAACTGAATACCTATAATAATCGAATACCTATAATAGCAATTTTATTACCTTAAATTTATTTAAATTTATTTAAACCCCTGCTTAAACACACAATTCAACCGCCCTGTTCATTGCTCAAGTTTTGTAGGTGTGTTTGAGCAGGAAATTCAACAGAGCTGCAACGAATATTCAATAAAGTTAATAAAGAATACTACTAAAGAATAAAATATTCAAAAACGCCATTCAGGGAACTGATACTTTAATCCATGTTTATGAAAACATGAACGCTTCAGTGCACTGTTTTTGAAGTCAGGTTAAAATCAGAGGTTTATGAAGCTAAATGTTATCGATATGAATACAGTCATTGAGTCATTAAGTGACACATATCCTGAGCTTCTCTCATTTTTGTGGAGTATTTTAAAATAAGAATATTTGATAATTGCAGCACTATAATAGACCAAACTGTGCTTGAGAAAGGAGTTAAATACCCCTGAATTTTGCACATATCACATCTGTTAAAGCATGAACTGTGAAAGAGAGGTGATAGAAACTCACACTCAAATGTCAGATAAAAGGAAAAGAATTTACAAACCTTTAACTTGAAGCTTTATCTTCTGAGTGCTGTGTGCAAAAGCCAGAAAGCAGGTGTACGTCCCCTGGTCTGATCCACTTACTCTGCTGAGTCTAATGGAGAAGTTGCCTTCAGCATATGCATCAGGAAAACTCTCAGTTCTGTTCTTGAACGCTGGATCCTGGTCCTCAGCGTACACTCTGCCTTCGATAATGTTGTGCACCTTTTTAATGTCATTATACCTCCAAACAATGTCCAACTCTTCACTTTTCGGTACATGACCCCTGTATAAACAGGGCAAGATGATGTAACGTCCTTCAACAGCTTCAACTGTCTCTTCCAGGGACACTACCAAAAGACAGAGAAACAGGATGAGATACAGGGCAAGTCAAAGATGTTCAAACTCCAGTGAGATTTGAAATCATTTGAGATGTTCTATGTTTTCACCTTTATTTATCAGCAACACAAACACACAGGTGATCAAACGTCTGCAACAAAGAGAAATTACACGGAATGTTAAGTGTTCGCCAACAATAGTCAAACAGCCTCCGCCAGGATCATGGAAAAGATTGAATAAAACATTGGCTGACTAGAGAGCTTGGAGCCCTCCTAAAAAGGTAATATAGGGAAGCAGACTAGGGATGCATTGGACTCTCTAACGGGGTTGAGCTTCTGGGCTCACAGCAGGGAGCTGTACCAGATGACAGTTTAAGTTACAGCTGAGGTCACTCTTGTGGAGGGCTGTGCAAGAGGGCCCTGTAAGGAGAGAACAATCTGGTAAGAGTCAGACCAGAGTGGGTTTAAAAATAAAGACATCATACGTGTTTGGTTTTAAGGGTTACCAAAAAAGGTGTAAGGTTTGGACATGATGGGGACTAAAATGCCATGGAATTGTGTAAAAGGGGTGGGGAGATTACCTAATCACTCTAGAGGGCAATAAAAAGGGATGTTTTGAGATGTTCTTTGCATTGTGGTTGACCGGGAACCATCTTGCCATTTGATGCTCATTAAAGCGAAGGCCTTTTCCTTCCTTCCACAAGAACTCAGCTGAAGTCTTTTAACCTCTTCAACTCCTTGAGACCACCGGTGGTTCCAAAACGCACTTCATCATATTCTTCATAACTTTCATATTTCATAAGCTACATTCAAAAGGTGGGGGTCGTATGAGAGCTGTAGCTGTCTTCCTTTCAGTCAAATATATGGGTGATGTAATTTTAAACCCTTATAATAAAAGAAGCTGAACTTACAAATTTTTTTGTCTACTGAAAGTCGACACATTTTTCCACAAATCTGGGCTATAAACTATAAACAGATGGCGTCTCTTCAGTGATCTGCTCTGTAAAAATGATTTTTATAAAACAATACAAAGAGCATGTAAGATTTTTGGCTTTCAGCAGTAAATTGTAAGCATATAGCAATATGTGTGATCATAAAACACGTTCTGTTAATTTGAGGGGAGCTTTTACAAAATAAATAAGTAAATAAAATAAAATTTTACATTTATTTCATGCAGTTACCGAATAATTTGCCTTACAATGTGGTCATGTAAATTCAGATGGAAAAACCAAAATATACCCTGGTCAATAAGAGGTTAATTCCTTTTCATCCTTTTTAATTTTTGTTGATATTGTTGATAATTTTCTTTGATTCTTTTAATTTTTCTTTAAGACATTAGATACAGACAGTTATTAGGGCAAATAGTATAGGTAATAGTAGAGTTACTTATAAATGTCCAGACCCTGGAAAAAGAGAGAGCTCTTGGCTGCAACAAGGATAAAACCAGCAGAGCTCCAGGGCTGTGACCTAACAGGTACTTATCAGGTTCAGTCAAGTTCACATAACAAACAAACCACCTGCAGAAACACGTTTTGGTTATGAAAAATGCAGATGTCTTGGGCAGATAAACACAGGTTTTGTCATGGGGTGTTGGCTGATTAGATTGCTGAGTAAGAACACTGATCCAGGATCATCTCACCAGTTCGTGTAAGTCTATTTAGTGTAGTATAACAGGTTCAAACTGACACCAGAACAGCTTTATCACTGTGACACTGGATAAATGTGGGTCATGGTTTAATACCAAACCAGTTTGAGCAGCTTTGTAACTGTAATGTCTGGCAGCAACAGAGAACTAAGCTAAGTTCGTTCCCATGTAGTGGCAGTTGTCCACCTGTCATATATGTTAAAACTTTGCCACAGCTTTCTCGTGGCCACCAAACAATAGGTTGTCCCAGCGTAACTGTGTTTTCTAGTCAAAAAATGCAGTTTATTCTGTTGAACGTTGCGTTGGTAGCTTATAGGAGGCATGTAAGTTATTGTTCCGGGCCCTAAGGGGTTTAAAGTGAAAGTTTAATATGGCTGGACAAATAACCAAATTTCGCGTCGTAGTTGACTAAAAGAGTTTTCTTATAGGACTCCTATAAGACAGCAAACTGTAAGTTAGCTAGTTACTGTTCAACACGAAATTGTTATACGCGTTAACACAGAGATTACGACTGGTTTTGGGCCCAAAGGCCTGCCATGAAATTTAGTCGTGTTAATGTGACCAAAAAAAAAAAAGGTTTACACGTTTCTCAAGGTTTCCGCCAATGGGATGCCTCAATTCCGACATGCATGAATATTCATAATAGGAATTACTTCACATATTACACCCAACAACGAACCTTAAAGATTATTCATGATATAGTGAGCTGAGCGCTGACCTATGGCTATGCTGAGCCGACCTCATCAGACAGGGGAAATGATCTAGAGTAACGTCCTCTTTAAGGAGGAGCCAATAAACTTAAACCTTTAGAGGGACTGAACCAGGAGGAGTCTGAGGAATCTGGTTTTATATATATATGTGTATATATATATATATATATATATATATATATATATATATATACATATATATATATATATATATACACGTGTGTGTGTGTACACACATACTTTAAACAGTGCAGTGTATTCTACCGAAAGACATATATTTTTAATAAATTTTTATTTTAATTTTTTCATTATGTGGTTTGAGCAACAACGCCACACCAGTAGTTGGCGGTAAAGCATCATGACTCACAAAGGTTTCCAAACAACAACTAAAATCCAAATATTGAACGCATGCGCCCTGCACTGTCAGAAAACATTCTGATTTTTTGTATAATATCGCTAAAAAGTGAAGCTATAAAATGATCTTGAGCGATTTGCGAGCGCGGGTTTCTGAGCTGGGCACCATGGGTAGGAGGTACGTAGAGTTTGGTTTGTAGAGTTAAAGCCTCGGTCCACTCAGAGGCCTAAGGCGGCCTCGCGGCCCAAAGCTCGGAAACGTGCTACCTGCGTGCCGTTGTAATAAAAGTTAGGTTAGATGTCCCACAGTAACTGCGTGAATTTGTCACCTTGGTAGCTTAATGACGACTGTTTCGCTACTTGAGACTCTCCTCAGTCATTTTCGGGAACTCGAAACCAGCTGACACTGAAGCTAACAAGCTAGCTGAGCTCCAACAGTGAGCTGGGTTATATAACTATCTAGGTTAGCTAGCCTGACGTTACATGTTTGCGAAATACTCTGTTAAACAGTAACTAGCTAACTTACAGTTTGCTGTCTTATCTGAGTCCTATAAGAAACTCTTTTAGTCAACTACGACGCGAAATTTGGTTATTTGTCCAGCCATATTAATAAACTTTCACTTTAAACCCCTTAGGGCCCGGAACAATAACTTACATGCCTCCTATAAGCTACCAACGCAACGTTCAACAGGATAAACCGCATTTTTTGACTAGAAAACACAGTTACGTTGGGACAACCTATTGTTTTGGTGGCCACGAGAAAGTTGTGGCAACATTGTCAGTACGTTCCCACAACCTCCCCGAAACTTTTTGACAACGTGACGACGTTATATTTGTTGAATCGTTACCAGTTTGCGTGTTATAGTCTCCAGAACTCAAAGTTTTAACCTATATTTGTCTCATATGCTACGTAAATATGCAAATAGATATACTTTTATTTTTATATGCTGGTCTAAGCTGGTTTATGCTGGTCTGGTGTATGATCAGCATACCAGCATCAAAACACCACATATACTGTTTTTGGTGGTAATCAGTGTATCCACTTCCATTGCTGTCCAACAGTCGGCATTTCGCTGCTGTCGTAGCAAAACCTTGTATCTCCAAAATGGTAACTTTACAGGAGAAGGAAAAAAAAAAACATTACTTTTAATGTAAGTCAGTAGAACCAGACAATTTTCCAAGTCATTTTGGACTTTTTCTTTTGGCCTATTCATCATGAAATTTTATACACAATGTAAAGGCCAGCAGGTATCTTCAAATCACGTCAAAACTAAAAAAAGGGCAAAAATGGAGATACGTGGTTTTGTCCTGACAACAGCAATATGCTGGTTTTGCTGGTGACCTTCTATGCTGGTCTAGGCTGGTTTTCCAGCAGGGAATGAGGTTATCTTGGATCAGTGCTCATACTGAACAGTCTAATCAGCCAACATCCAATGACATAAGATCTGTTTGCATTTATCTACCCAGGATACCTGCATTTTCCATATGCAAAACATGTTTTCTACACGGTTTGCTCCACATGAACCTGTTTGAACCTGAGAACTGATGTACCTGTTAGGTCACAGTGCTGGAGCTCTGCCAGTCGTATCCTGTTTATTGGGTGTAAAACTGGCGGAGCCTGTGTGACTACAGGTCACTACAGGTGAACACTAAACAATCTGTGTTATTTCTCTTCGTTGCAGATATTTGATCGCCAGCGTGTTCGTATTGCTGATAAATAAAGGTGACGACGTAGCACATCTTAATTTCAAATCTCACTGTTTGCATATATTTGACTTGTCTGTCTCATCATGTTTCTCTGTATGTCTCTGGTCTTCATAGTGTCTCTGGAACAGACAGTTGAAGCCGTTGAGGGAGGCTCAGTCATCTTGCCATGTTCATACAGTGGTGAGGTACCAAAAAGTGAACAGTGGAAGATTTATTGGAGGTACAATGACAACAAAAAAGTGTACAACATTGTCAAAGGTAAATTCGTCGAGGACCAGGACACTTCATACAAGAGCCGAACTGAGAGTTTCCCTGACGCATATCAAAAAGGCAACTTTTCCATCAAACTCAGCAAAGTAAGGGTGTCAGATCAGGGGACGTATTCCTGCTTCATGCACTTTGCACAGACCACTCGGAAGGTGCAGCTTCAAGTTAAAGGTGTGTAAGTGCTTTTACATCTTCGCCCCCTACGTTATAACAGCAGGGGTATTCAGTTCAGCAGGACATGACACAGTTTGGTGATTTTCCTGCTCAGACACTCTTATCAATTAAAGCGGGAATAGAAAACAGGAATAGAAACCACTCTAAGAAATAAAGGTATTAAACTGTCACTGGGGCAGTTCCTCTCTTGTCACTGGGGTGGTCCCCTCAAGGGTACATCTCAGTACTTTTAGTCAGGGAACATAACTGTACCATAATCCACTGAAATGATATGTTCTAAGCTGTACTGACTCCACACACCCCGTCTCGTCTCCAGGCTTTTATTTTACTGTTCTGATTTAAAACATTCGGTTATGAAAAGGTACAAATACGAACTTTTCACCTGGAAAAACTGATTTAAGGTTCACAGTCAGACCTTAAAACCACTGTTGTACCTTTGAGGGAACATTTACACTGTTTGTACCTTGATGAACGAAATATACGACAGCGTTTTAGGGCCACTGTTAATAGAAATAAAAATAGTAGACCTCATAATATTTCAAGAAAAAAGTCATAATATTTCGAGAAAAAAGTCGTAATATTTTGAGGAAAAAGTCGTAGAATTACGACATTAAATTGCCATTAATACCAGGAAAGGTCACAATATTGTGGCCAGAGGCTTTGAAAAAGGAAGGCAGCACCTCCTCGTGTTAAAATGAGGGGCATTTAGGAGTTGGTGGACAAACGGCTGAGCAGGAAACTGTGTTTATTTAGAATAAAGAGCCAGACGGACTTGGAGGAAACTGTCTGTCTGTGTTGTTGAAGGAGAATCTCAGGCAGGGTTGTCTACACAGCTATCGGGGGCTACATCTCCCCCCATTCAAAGAGGGCATGAAGTTTCACAGACAGTGAGAATGGTGATCAAAATGATTGATCCACAAAGACACAGGAGTGAGTGGAGCTCCGGCGCCAGTACAGCAACCGAGACCCCACCGTGTTATGGCAGCCCACCTACAGTTAGCCCACTTTACCCTCCAAATATTACGACTTGTTTTTTCGGAATATTGCAACTTTATTCTCAAAGTCTACTGTTTTTATTTTTATGAACAGTGGCACTGTAACGTCGTAGAAATATGTACCAGCACAGAACCTTTATTTCCAACAGTGTACAGAGAGCATTGGAGAAAGCCAGTATAAACTAATATAAGATAAATACCTTAAAACGACACTTGTTCAAAACTACAATGCAGACATCGTCAAAACTATGCACATACAGATTACATACAAGATAAACATAGCAGGCTAGCTTACGCTTACAGCTTAGTTAATGTTAGTGTTGGTTTAATACATAATGCATCTGCATGAGTAGCTAGCTACATCTAAGCAATAGAACACGAGAGGGAGTGTGTTATTGATAGCGATAACACACAACCTCGAGTGTTCTATTGCTTTTATGCAACAGTTAAATAAATAATAAAAAATAAGTAATAAATTAATAAACTGGGCCGTGAACGCGGCGTTTAATATGATTTAATGTTCGCAGTTCCTTCCGCCAAATTATAGTTCCTTAACGAGCAGCTTGTTGCTGCGTCAGAGTAACGAGCTCTGCCCACTCGCTGCACAGCCGGCAGTTCGTTCTCCAGCTCCTTACACTAAATTCCCAAACTGTCATCACCACTGAGCAGCTTTTCAGTCGGCAGCTGTGACAGAAGAACAGCTAAACAACCTGGAATCAGCCAGAAATGAACCCAACACCATTCGCCAAACTAAATGGGCTGTAAGATGCTTTACAGACTGGCTGGAACAAAACAACATTAATACTGATCTGGCAAAAACTGACAAAACTGAGCTAAACTTGATATTGCGGCAGTTTTATGGCTCAGTCTGATAAGGTCAGACTCTGAAGATCAGACTACACATTTGGTGAATGGTATTGGGTTCATTTCTGGCTGATTCCAGGTTGTTTAGCTGTTCTTCTGTCACAGCTGCCGACTGAAAAGCTGCTCAGTGGTGATGACAGTTTGGGAGTTTAGTGTCGTCTCATCTTCAGAGTCTGACCAAATCGGCTGTCGGTCAGATGTGATCTTAAAAGTGTCCATTTTCTGTTTGTGGCAAAGTAAGAAGTAAAAACATTCAAATGGCTCGAGCGTCTACAGCTGTCAAAGTTGTTGCTTTGAGAAACAGTGCGGTTAGAACACTTCTCAACTAATCGGCTTGCGTGGCTGGAACTAACTGTTGTATAATGACCACATAATTAAAAAACATAACAAATTCCCCCAAAAACAAAGCAAACCAGGTATTTACCTGTCCAATGGAAAAACAGCAACCTGACATTTTATGAACGTCAGTATATGACGTATATGAACGTCAGCTGAATTAAATCAGGGATGTTTTGCAGTGTAATGGCTTACATGAAAATTAAAACATGCTAACTTGCTGTCTCTGGCTGAGGGTGCTTGGGAAGTGAATGCAAGAAGGGGATGTGAGACTGGGCTTCACACCGTATGGTAGACTCTGCACTTGTGAAAATGAGCACACATGCAGACAGGGCAGGTAGGCCATCCGGTCATTTGAGTTATTGATTGCTATCAGGAAGTAAACAGTATTTCAAGAACTGTAACAAAAATAGTGCTGGAAGAAAACCTCCTATCTCCAAAATGGTAACTTTACAGGAAAAGGAAAAAACATACTTTACTTTTAATGTAAGTCAGTGGAACCAGACCTCTTTCCAAGTCATTTTGGGCAGTGGTTCATTCATCCTGAAATTGACACACATTGTGAAGGACAACAGGCATTTTCAGATTATGTCAAAACTGAAAAATGTCAAAAATGGAGATACAAGGTTTTCTTGTATGTTTCTAAAATAAATCACCTACTCCACCTTTAACAGTTCAGTCAGGTGTGTTTAAGCAGAAAGATCACCAAACTGTGCTGATCTCTGGTCCTCCAGGAGCAGAACTGAATATCCTTTCAATAAAGTTTGTCATCCAGCAAATTCATGTGTAAAATTAGGGCTTAAACCAATGATTATTTCTTTATTCTATTAATTAGCCCATTATTATTTTGATTAATAAAAAAATGGCCGTTATTATTAACCTTAAATACTTAATGTTATGCTCAATGTCTGAGAAAACCTCAGAAAAGCTTTTTCATTCTTATCCTGTTTTCTAAAGATAAGATAATCCTTTATCAGTCCCACCACAGAAGACATTTTCAGTGCTACAGCAGCAAAGGTATAGCAAGGCATTCAAGGAAGGAGTAACAAGAAGAGAATTAACAAACATGATAATTATAAATACAAGCTATTATACGTAATCATATTTCCCAAACTAAACAAAAAACAAAATGACATTTATCAAGGTCGTATCAACAGACCTTCTGCACTGCTCTTGAAATTAATTTTAATTAGTGTGAAAGATGCAAAAACAACAGGACAAATTACTTAACCTCAAATGGTCAAAGAAAGCTAAACTAATTTGCTTACCTCCTGTAAGATTGCCTTTAAGTATTTCATATGGTTAAGTGATGAAAAAAAAAACCTTAAGGTGTTACTTAAGGGTTTATTTGAGTGAAATCATCATGCACCCTTAGATTTTCCCATAACAATCAAATTTCCCTTAAATAATGCCTTAAGTCGTGTATAAAGTTCTTTAACTGTCATTTACCGTAGAATGAGTCAGTTAGTTTCAGTATTTAGCTTGTTTAGCTGCTAATCGTTCCATCCAGAATAATAATAAAAAAAAAGAGTATAGCTGTGTTCCAAAGTCTAGGCTGCATTTCTTGGATGCTATGTCATAACAGGCCGTTCCAAAGTGAAGGACCCTTCGTATAGAGCCTAGATTTCAAGAATGTATCAGATGTTTCCTTCCAGGTCTTCGGTTACCCACAGTTCTCTGAGCACGAACGACGTGAAGGAGAAAAAAAACAGCACCACGAAAATGGCGGAAAACGAAGCCATTGGAACAGAACTGTTCACGTCCTTGAATTCGTCTTCATTACCTTATGAAGTGTAAAATGACTGATTAATTAAATAATTCGTCCATATATCGTATTTTAATCAGAAGTATTTGTATGTGTGTAGTTTATCACATTACATAAGAACATCTCCGTTTCCATGAGGAAATGAAAAAGCAGCAATCTCAATGCAGCGTTTTCTCCATTTTCTCTCACCAGTCCCCTTATGAGTTTCGTGCCGCTCTGGTGACATCACCACACAGCCCCGTTAGGACTACTCCATTTGTGTGACTAATACGCTACTAAGGAGGAGTCTTCATAGGACAGTCCTACCGAGGACCTGCCCTACCTCGGCTGCAGCCTAGGCTTTGGAACACAGCTTATGTTAGATTTTAAATCTCCACATAATAAACACAGAAAAATGTTAAGATCTCCACTCTGGAAAACATTTTCCAAAAGCTCAGAGATCTGAAACACTCTGCGCAGGGAAAAGATGCACTATTTAGATTTTTTGTATCTTAGTTACACACCATGCTGAGCTTCTGCTGTGGATGCATTGTGCTTTCTGCTCAAAGCTTTGAGCCTGTTTTTCAAAATTTCCTGGAAACCTTCATTTTCGATGATGTGCAAGTGATGTGTTTCTATATTTTTGACACTCTGGGTTAAGCACAAGCCAGCACTGCAGTCTCCACTGTCCGTACTTTGTTTCAGTGATATACTGTTAGATGGGAAGTGCTGTCAAGCAAACTAATCGATAACAAGACAGTTTAGCTGATTTGTTGTTTCAGTGATAGTAAAAATGTACATATTCTTAAAGAGCCATTTCATCTTTGCCTGCAACTTTTTTTCTTATTGAGTATTTTCTTTTATCACAGCTACAGAGCCAACTACAAAGCCCACTATACAGCCAACCACAAGGCCTACTCCTCAGCCAACTACTGATGCAAAAAACAAGAGCGTGGAATCAAGATCTGTCAAGAATTTACTGATCTTCAGTGTTTTACTGGGATATAATTTAATTCTCCTTTAGCCAGTGTCAGTCAGACATTCTGTTGTTATTATCTACAATAATAACTCTGTTTGGCCCCACCCACATGCAGCATTTGCAGAGCTACTGAAAAATTAGGTATGAAGAGAGGTTGTGAAATTTCATAGATTTTTTCTGTGGCCATTAATTTACATTATAGTCAAAGTACTACAGTATTTCATAGAGTGGCATAAGATAATCATGTTATTTGACCCAGTGTACCCACACTTTTGCAATTTTTATATGAATTTTATTTTTGCTTACTTGTTTACTGTCCTTACCTTTTTAAATAAGGATTACTATTATTATAATTACTAACTAAACTGATGTTGAGACCTTTAGTTCATATGTGCAGCTTGGTGGACTGTGGTGTGAAGTAAAATTATCTGGATTATGATTCTCATGACAATAAACAGAACATTATTAAATAATTGACCAATGTTATGAGAATCACCTTTGCCGCTGCTTAGGAAAGTAAAACAGTCCTGATTATTATGAAGTATTATTATAATTTTCCAAGCACTTCACAAAGGGATGAATTCTATTGCCATAGGCATGCTCCTGTTTGCCAAAAACTTCTTGAAGTGCCTTATTGGGTCCCTCCTTTCTTGCACTCCTTCAATGACTCTTGCAACTGTATTTGTTATTTGTATTATTATGACAGTAAAAATAAAATATTTTGTGCTGTTTATGTTCTTACAATTGAATTTCTGTGGGTTTTACTTTGTGAGACATTTTCTTTTAAAAGCCTGTAGGGGCATTACTCTATGACTGAAATTGATATATTCAGTAGTCATATCATGGTGCTTTAAATAGCGCGGACATACACATTAGCTTTGCATTGGGATCATTAGACCTACCTGTACTTGGATTTTGTAATTCTGAACTGCTGTTACATAAATGTAAAATGTAGAAACTGGAACTAAATCCAATTAGAATAACGCTACAGAGAAAAGTAACATTTATTTCTACAAAATGCAAATGTCTACTAAACACGCTGCTCTTCCAGAGTACAAGCACATAATCAGATATCACTTTGAAATATCAGTCAAATCTAAAAATCTGTATTATGAAGTGTATATATATATATATATATATATATATATATATATATATATATATATATATATACGTTAATAAATTCTTAAATGAATAATCCTCTACAGTAAGTAGTGCTCTTATTGTTTTGCTGTGTTTTTATTCTTAAATTGCAAAATAATAGCTATTGGCAACTTCTTGGCCTTTGACTTTTCCTAACAGGTCAATGGGGCCAGTCCTTCCAGAGATGTCTCCCTTCTACTCAGCAACAGTTGGTCAATATCTATTCTTCATGGTCAGGTTTGGAGAGCATGGAGTGATAAAGGGGACTTTCACAGATTTTTCAAAATTTCTGCATAAGTAAATGGTTAATGTTATTCAGAGTGGTTTGATGCAAATTGCTCTATTCTTAAGAAACTTGCAGTCAGAATTGTTCACGATGGTGATAGGAACCAGACATCTATAGAGTTTAATGCATTAAAGCCTATGTGTCAAACACAAGGCCTGCGGGCCTGACGCAATCCTATCTGGCCTGCAAAAGTGTTTTAATTTGTATTGATATTAGCTAGTTTCACAATGCGCTGTACTACTGTACCCAGCATGCACTGCAACGTAATGTCCGCTCCACCTCTCCTACCCTAACAACAGTCTATTGGACAGTGGTTACACCTCAATTCTATGCAATTCTGCACAGTTCCACACCAGTCATATCACCAAACACACTAACTGCGTTTCAGCTGTTGTTCAACCAATATACTGTATTATATACATTACACACATACATTATATACAGAGGTACATGTGTGACAAGTCAAAAAGACTTAAAATAGTGGATTTGCCACTATTTTACCATCATCAACATTACTTATAAAAACTCAAGACAGACATGAAGGTTCACTGGTGGCTTTGAATAGTAAGTAAAATGGCTGTCTTTGTGTTGCGACCACTTGTTCTTATCACTACTACTGTAAAGAAATTGGTAAGTTTACCACTGAATGACTGTTTCTTCTGAACCCTTGAATTATGCAGAAATTTTGGAAAAATCTGTGGAATTCCCCAATTCTTTAGGATGTATTGAAATATGCATTTAAATTTAAGTTCAACTTAGCAAGGCAAGTTTATTTATATAGCACAACATTAAAAACATAATTAAAACATTATTAAAACAAATTGAAAAGAAAATCATTCAATTAAAAATCAAATTAGAAATTAAATTAGGATAGTTAAACAATCAAATTAAAAACTAAACATTAGATTAGGATAAAAAAAGTGCATTTAGCAGTGCAAGTGGCTTATTAAGTGGCTAGCTGCTATGCAAATTAAGTCAGCAATGTTTTTGGATGGTAAAACCACTAATGCACTGCAGAGGGCAGCAGAGTTCAAACAGTCCCTCATATTCAAGGTGAAATGCTGCACTGAATTCTCACAGTGGCTTGGACAAAGTGTCCAAATAGAGTAAAACTGCATTTCGTATCTGCTTTACTTGATTTTGCTTGATCTTGCAGCCTTCAACAACTAAATGTAAATCATCTTTTTTTTTATTTACTGTGTTCATCCTTTATTATAGCTTCCATTCTTTTCAGGAGACCAAAGTTCAGTCTTAGAAGTTGTTTTTTTTTTCTGGCTCTGTGCTACTAAGTCTTGTTTTCTACAAACTCGTGATTTCACTTATTTCTCTTTGGTTTTCTGTTTCTTTTTGCAAATAGATTATTTTTTATCTAATCTCCTCAGATATTTATCTTAATATATGACAAACTGGTACTTAATGGGCTTAATGGACACACCTGAAGTTTCTGACTTTTGCATGGTATTGTATTTAAGGTGTTCATGGGCTACAGAACAGGCAGAATCAAAGAAAGCAGACAGGAAAGGAAGTTTCATTTAATTATTTGAACACAGCCAGTGTGTGCCATGACAGAGAGTTACAGCAGGAGACCAAACTAGTGTAGAGGGTAAACAGAAACCTAGGAGAACACTGGAAGGAGTAAGGGAGCATAAAGTGACAAATAAAAAAAGGAAAAGATGGAGAAAAGAGGAGTTAAATCAGAGCAAGCAGGTGCAAAAGGTCTAGTTTCAGCACAGGCCTATTTGAAAGTAAATATAACTATAGTAATAGTTTAATTTTAACGTTTAAAGATTTAAAGTTTCATCTGTGTAGCACCTTTTTAATACTCAGGTATTTTATAAGCATGACATCAGAACACAAAGTCTAGAAGACATGACTGGAGACAAGAAAACCAAAACAGAAAGTAAAGTAACAGAAATAAACACAAACAGAAACCAGAGGACTGGACAATCAAAGTGCGAAACAAGGCCAAAATAAATCAAGTCACAATCAGAACAGAAACCGACTATGGGTCACAGGAAAGAGCAGTCTTGAGAATTGAACAGCAGCCACTGGAGCAATGCATCTACTGTATAACCGTGTGTGAGGACACCAAGAGTGCGCCACAGTGTGGTGCTAGAGGGAAATCGTATCCCAGTCAGCTGAGTGGAGGGCTGCTGTATGACCCATTGTGCTTCATTAATCGCAAACCGTTCTTCACTTTTAAAATCCACCTGAAATAAAAATGATAATTTTTTACCTTGTTAATTCATGTCCTTGGTCTCTTAAGCACAATCCATTGTGTCATATCATTCTAAAATAATCTTTGAAAAAGTGTAGTGACCTCTACCATCCAACATTTGGCTCTGTCACTGAGTTCCTGCAGGAAAAAACGTACAAACCAATAGGTTATCCCCTCCCACCATCCTATTCAAACACTGGCTCATATCAACTTCTTAGAGCAATAACACTGATCAAAAATCAGCTTATGCTTTTTATCTAACACTGAACAAAATACTATGACCTAATGAGACCTGATCTTAGGTCAGTGCTTTTACTCTAAGATGCTTGATAAATGTGGACCATCGAGCGAAAACACCCGTCATCACCCCTGTTCTCGACAGCCTCCTTTTTCAAACAGGTTCTGCTGACCATCAGAGTCATGTTTATTTCAGAACACCCGCTTTTCACACTCCAATCAAATCCTGGGGCCGTATTACAGAAAATACAGTTAAGACTGAAGTTAGGACAGAAGCCATTACAGAACAACAGTTCTTAAGTCTATAATCTTATCTTATTTCCAGATAAGAAAACGGTTTTACAGAAACATCCTGTTACCAAAATATCCTAAATATTTTCTTAACTTTAAGATAAACCCCAGAGCATCTCAACTTCTGTTTTAATCGTGTTTCTATTGTTTTATGTAGTGATACGCAGTACAGTTCACTATAACCAGCATAATGACGCTACATTTAACTACACTGAAAACGGCGCTTTGACTTGTGAGGTTTTTTTAAACAGCGTTTTTTAAGAACTCAGATGCTGCAGACTCGATCTCCACCGTATTACAGTGATGGTGGTGAACACTGAGGAAACAGCTGAACGTGTGTCTGTTTATTAGGAGGAATAACGTTAGCGCGCTCAGTTAAAGCGTTTGGGAAATGAAGTTGAAACTGTGGAGCGCGATGCTCTGATAAACAGTACAAAGCGCTGAGACAACATTATTAACTCTCGGTTATCGCACTTTAGTTTTATTTGATCTTTTTTTACATCAGTTACGGTAGCTAACGTAGCTGTCTGGCTAACTAACTTGATTATGTGTTTACGTTTCAGCTGAGCCCGAATGGTCGGTTGCTAGGTAACAGACACGACAGTTGATTGTCGACATCAATCGAGAAAGTTAAGATTTCCTAACTTGAGATAAGAAAAGATGCTGTAAGATATGATTCCTAAATTACGATAAGATTTGCTTCTGTAATACGAATTCGTGAAAAATCTTATCTTGACTTGTCAGATCTTAAGACAAAAAGGATTTCTGTAATACGGCCCCTGATGAATAAACTCATGCCCGCCCACAATTATTTCCCGTCTGATTATCCTGTTTCACAGGGAAATACATCACATGAAGGAAGAATCATGCTCTCTGATTTCCAATCAGAATAATGCTTATCGTACACCGTACGTGTTGCATGTGATTCTATACTGAACCTTTTTGAAAAGGGTTCTATATAGCACCAAAAATGATTCTTCTATTGTTATGATGTCAAACATGTAACAAAAGGAGAACCGTTTTTAGTACCATATAGACTCTATAAACACTTTCTCCATCAATCTGAAAAACCATTTCACCATGCAAAGAACCATTTATGCATGTGTGTTCATGGTTCCAAATAGAAGCTCTGTTTTTACTACAGAACCCTGTTGAGAAAAACAATCAGGACTGTGGTAAACTTTGCTATAAAATCACCTCAGCTCACTCCTCTGCAGGATGCGCTACACCACAACACAGCTATTGAACTGAGGTCAAACCGGTCTTGGCTGGAGATTCCCCTCCCCGCCTGCAGAGGTCACTCTTGTAAATAGCTTGTGTTTTGGCTTGGGCTTTGTGAAGATTTGCCAGATTACTCTGCAGTTCTAAGCCTTATAACTCTTGGTGTGTTTCATGTTCTCTGACCTTTTGCTTGTCTACTGGCTTATTCTGATTTTTGGTTCTTGGTTGCCTCAGATTTATTTTGTATTTTTCATTTGCTGCAGTAAAGTCAGCTCGTGCTTGGATCTCTAGTCTCTTTCTTGACATTACAGTTTGTTTAACAGCACCATCCACAGTGACCTTTAGCTAATTCTGTTTTTTTCACTGATTAAAACACTTTTATAAGAAGATTTCACAATTTGATCAAATTTAAAACAATTTTGCTCTACCTTGGTTGGTTTATGATGAGAGTACATGTTCAGTAACCTGCAAAATATACTTGGTATGCCCTTTTATTCATATGCATAAAAGTATGCACTTTTTCCCAAATGAATGTAATCCTAATTGTTAAAGAGACAATTCAACTGGGTAATTTGGGAAAGTTCTGGTCACTTTCTACAAGCTCAAGGCTACAATATGAATATTCCTAAACAGTAATGAATGTGCAGTGTTGAGTGCTGTAAGCGATACAACCTGATTTGACTAGTACTTGATTTAGAGTTGGGTATACATTATTTATTATTATTATTTTTACATACAGTGGGTTTTGAAATAAATCACAGATGCACTGAAAGATATAAAGCTCAAAAACGTGAGCTTTATGAACTTGGCACCCCTGGCCAAATTGCATATTCTGTTGATTTATTTCTGAAGTGAAAAAAGTAAACAACTTCTGCAGTTAATTATTTTAAAACCGTAATTTTCTGCAAAGATTAATAGTTACTTTATATTTGATTAGCTTAAAAAAATAATTGTGGCTTGTTCAAAAGTTTGAACACCTTACTAACACTACCAACCCCACTACCTTTTCTTAGATTACACAGCTTGCATGTTTTTTGTAGCCTGCTTGGAGTCATTCTACTCCTGTTTTAAGATGTTTCACCCACTCTTTCACACAGAACTCTTCTAATTCTGTGCAGTTCTTGGGCCGTCTTGCATACAGCATGTATAAGATCTAACCAACAATTTTCAATGATGTTCAAATCAAGGGACTGTGAGGGTCATTCCAAAGGTGTCAGCTTGTGGTTCTTGAAGTAGTTCATGGTGGATTTTGAGGTATGTTTAGGATCATGGTCCTGTTGTGGAAGCCAGCCTCTTTTCAGCTTCAGTTTCTTGTCTGTGTCATATTTGCATTCAGAAACTGCTGATGCTCAGTGAAATCTATGCTTCCATCTATGCTTGCAGAATTTCCTGAACTATCTAGATGCATACAGATCTGGTTTTGTGTACTTCAGACGCTTACTTTAGTGATGAGATTGCAGGTCAAGTATCTTTAAAAGTAAATAACTCTCACCGCCAGCCAAACATGTTTGCAAATTCTTTGCTGTCAAATGGGAGTTATGCTTAGTTCATCCTGTCAGTTTTCTTGGTCTTCAGAGTTTACCTTAAATTCCACACTCTTAATAACCATTTTTTAATGCTCTTTCGAAATCGCAAGCATTTTGATCTTTTTTATAGCCTCCCTCTGCTTTGTTGTTGACTGTTAGTACGGTTTGAAAAGTCAGGGATTTTATTATTCTCTGGAGCTATCATTGGGTCACAACTCCTAATGACAATGCTCAACCTGCCTTAGCAGTCCTAACATGTCAATTAGACTTTACAACTAGAAGGATGTCCAAACTTTATAAAATATATTAATTTAAAACAAGTTTTTTCTGTCTTTGTAAGTTGATATATAGTAACAAATATAGGGACAATGAAGATTTACATAAAATGTTCATTTTAAAAATAATTTGCTCCAGACATTGTTTTTGCTTCTTTTCATTTCAAAAATCAACAAAATTTGGCGAAAAAAAAATATGTTTTCAAACATTTGCATACACCTGTACTCCTACATGTGTTACTACTACTTGGTGCATATGTACATGGTATTGGCGCTATAAGAGAAAGCTGTGAAGTATGTTTGCCTTTTACCTTGAATGCCAAAGTATATCTACACGGTTAAAACCATTGGATGAATATGGGCATACATAAAGTCTTCCAGTCTGCAATGTCTTCTTCATCTAGATCAGCTATTGTTAGCTTCTAGCTTTTTTTGAAGAGTAGAAAAAAAGCTGTGGTCAGTGTAAGTCCCACATCCTGTCTTGTTTATGACTAAAGCTGTCTTCAGCGGAACAGAAGCAGACACTGTGAAAAGCTTTCATGTGACAGCATGAAGAATTTACAGATTCAGATATGTAAGTTTTTAGCAGTAGAAAAAATGATTTTAGACCTGTTTTTAATGTGAAGCTGATGTTTTTATTGTGATGTGTTTTCTGTTTTCTCTTTGTAGGTTTACTTATATGGTTTGAAGCAGTTGAAAGTTTTAAGTTTGTCCAAGTTGAATTAGGAAAAAACATAACAGTAAATTGTGATCTTGCTGATGTTACAAGTGGAACAGAGATATATTGGTATATACAGACACAAGACAGTGCCCCAGTGGTGATATTACGCACTTTAAGTGCTGGCACAGAAATTGACGCCAACTATTACAACACAATATTGAAACAGAAGTTCACATTAGTAAATTACTCTTTACTGATACAAAACATCACAGAAGATGAACTGGGAGATTATTACTGTGTCAAAACTGGAGAACCGTTTTTCCCTAATGGAACAAGACTTCACACCAGAAGTAAGTGTCTATTTTGTTGTTGACTTTTTAATGGCATAGCTCTTGCATGTCTTACTGACCTGTTTTACCAATATATCCCATTCAGACCACTTCTTTTGTTTTCGCTGCCAACTCCAAGGATCACTCACAGCTCAGTTGGTGGATAATTTTCATATATAGCTGCTAAACTCTGGAATAGCATTTCAAGCTCAACAGGAATTTTTAAATGCAAATTATATATGTCTAGACTAGCATATGTCTGAGTATTGTGGCTCATTGTCTCTTGTTTGTAATTGTGCTGTTTTTTTTTATTCATATGGTAATGCTTTATCTTTCCAATGTTTTACTTTTCTGTGTAAAGTATTCTAAGATTTTGTAACGTAATTGAAAAGTGCTATATAAATAAACATTTAAGATTTATTATTATTATTATTATTATTATTATTAACTAAATTGCTGTATCTGTGGTGTTATACTGTTTGTAGGACATGATTCTGCGCATATAAATAAGACACCATGGCGAATTCTGACTGTTGTATCTGCTCTGCTCAATTGTGTTTTTATTGCTGCAATAATTGGTGAGTATTATCAGTATACAGTACTAGCCGTGCACAGTTCATTGCATAACATTCAAGTACTACACATGTACTTCATTTAGATAGTAGTACCTGTAGTCCCTGAGGCCTGATGTTATTAGCTAGAATCGGTTCAAATAAACAAATTAAAGATTACCTAAAATTTACATACAGATAAACTAATATTACAGAAAAATAATTAAAAATATTGCTTGCTTTGTGCTCTGCTAGCAAGCCGCTACAAAAGATCTTCAAAAGGCCGACAACAACCTCCAGACTCCAATCTACAGCAATATCAAGACATGACCAGTGCACAGGTAGGAAAACTCTGCATTAATAATAAGGCCTATGCCTGGCAGACACTTCTGAATTTTAAAGTGATACTGAAAACCTGAGATACTCCACACAGGCCCAGCAGGATTTTTGCCCTCAGCTGTCCTACTCATGGAAGCCCTTACACTACAAGATTTGTCCAGAACAAAACAACGCACACTTTCACTTTATGCTCACAAACTATGAATGATGAGGTCCTGACCAATTGTGTTAACATGTATAGTGTGTTAAAGTAACTTGCTACATTTAAACATAATAAAAATTTAGCAGTCGGATTTGCCTATAAATGTCCAGTCATCCCATTATTTTTTTCAGTATGATGAGATTGAGCTCCCCGCCAGAGGAGCAAAGCTGTTTCAGGTCAACGACACCTACGCCCTAGTGCAGTTCCCAAAACCGTGAAGGCATACAGCAAGGGGCTTCGGCTGCAGCTATGAACTTTACACAGGTGGGTTCAATTCCAAAATTCCACTGCTTATAATAAACACTGGACTATCTTTAATAATGGGTAATAAAAGTACTGTATGGCAGTGCTACACATTTTATTGTACATTAGAATTTACATTTGTCAGGTCTTTTTTTCCTCTGATCACACAGCGTAGGAAAGCTAAAGGAGTTTTGATCTGCAGCTGCCCCTTGTGAAAAAGCTATATATTTAATGTGATATTAGTCTTCCTAAACTATATACAGAATGCCCCAAGTATATTTTTCTCCTTAACTTTTTACCTACTCAATCCATATTTTAGTATACTTTGCAAAAAGTGCATTTACCCATGTGTGCTAATTCAGCACTGATGATATATTTCATAAAAATATGAACTACGCTTATTTTATGATAAAAGCGTGTTCTAGGAGCGTTACTGCTGTGTTAAAAATGTACTTCAATGAAGTATGCTTAAACAAACATGTTCATTTAGTTTTGAGACAGTACTTCATCAGATTATGCTTACAATAAACTGTTTTTATGCCTAAACTATACTTTCACACAGAAAAGAGAATTTTTGTGTTAAACATGAGCTTTAATGTATACTTATATACTTGAAAGTATACTAGAAAAATAAGAATTTTGTGTTGAAAAGGTGCTTCATCAAATCATAAAACTATAACACAGTATTTCTAAACAATTTGTATTATTTATGTGTTAAACCTATACTTAGTCTAGTATCTACATACCTAGTATGTTATTACTGGTGTTATGATGTCTGGCCATATTAAATGTGTAAATATAAAACACAAGCACACATCAAAACAGCTTAAAAATTATCTTCCTTTTGCTAATTACATTTTTTTTTATTAAACGTTGGTCTAACAGTGGAAAAAACATCGTCACATCAATAGGATGTCAGGGTATTTACATCAAAAAATTCTCTGTGGTGTTATTGAAGGTAATATATTTTACACTTCCTGAAAAATTATAACCTTAACCTTTGTGAAAAGTATAAGTAAGTAGTGCTTAAACAGTTATGTACTTAAGTTATGTTATTTTGGAACAACAAATTTGCACTAAATCACTACTAACGTGTACACGATATATCTTTAAGTCATACTTTATGTATACTAGGTATATTAGTCATGTTATTTTTGCCACTCTTAATATCTCGCTGCTGTCGGGAGAAAACCTCCTATCTCCAATTTTGTCGCTTTTCAGTTTTTGACATAATTTGAAAATGCTTGTTGCTCTTTACATTGTATGTAAATGTAATGAAGAATGGACCAAAAGAAACAACCCAAAATTACTTGGAAAAAAGTCTGGTTCCATTGACTTACATTAAAAGTAAAGGATGGTTTTTCCTTCTCATGTACGGTTATCATTTTGGTGATACAAGGTTTTCTTCTGACAGCAGCGATATACTTTAAGTATACTAGTCTGTGCTGCCAAACTGTACTGAAATATATTAAAAATGTTTTAAAATGATTTTTGTAGTACTACCCATGTGCTCTTTAATTACATAATTAGTATATCAGTTTATGTAGTCCCAGTATATAATTAGTATATTTTTGCAGAAATACTTACATGCATGCTTGGTACACCAACTTAGCGTACACTGTAACACACTCTGTCTTTTAATAAGTGCATATTAATGACTATGTTAATGTTATGTTAACAGGATTGAATTAACTGGTTTCCAACCCTGGTCCTGGAGAACCCCCTGCCCTGCACTTTTTAGTGTTCACCCTGCACCCAATGCAGCTGATCCAACACATCACAATAATAAACTCTATATTCTCTGTAATGAATTTCATTTGCATTTGTGTCGGCTCAACAAGTGTTGCTCATCAAAATCAGAAGCTCCTACTAGAAATGTTTTAGCCTCACATACAATTTAGTAGCGTGTGCAACACAAAAACACACTGGACACAGAAAAATGCATAAAACGAAAGAATAATCGTGAATGATGCCAACATTCGGTTAAAGTGAAGTAAATAAGTAACCCCATGCAAGTGAACTTGGTCTGTGGTGAAGTGTGCGGTGATATCATGATCTAACGCTGCAGGAATTCACACGATGCTGTGAGAGAGTTTCTGTTTTCTGCTCCGACATCGCAGCACAGACCACTGAAGATAAAGGACTTTAATGATAAGCTATCTTAAAATGAAGTACATGTAATGTAACTCTTTACTGACTGTCTACCCAGCTGCTTTTCGTGTCAATAAAACTCTAAACTTGCTGTACTGTGATTTGTAAAGCTAGCGCTGCTTCCGAGCCTCCCAGCTCAAAGTAAGCTAAGTTTGTTAGCTAGCTAGCATGAAGTCAGACTCGGCTTCCCTAAACCAACAATATTAATGCTGGTTTGCTCTTTGAGAATAATTTATGAATGTCAGTCATCTGAATTTGAATTTTTCCTCTCTATTTATGCTGCTAGCTTTGCTACCTAATAAGTTTTTAAAAGCTTAGCCGGTTAGCTTTACTTACAGTAAGATTGCTAGTTACATTTACTCAGTTGCATCTACCTAAAAAAGCATGACAGTTACTTAAGTAATATGTGTGAAGAAAACAATCTACATTCTGGTTTTCATTCTGTTGGCGCTGGTTTAGCTCCTGGGCTATTTTACTGTCGCAAAAACCTCTCACTTTGGAGCTTTAAAATTTTATTTTTGACCGAAAGGATTATAAAAAGAAAATAGCAAATAAATTCCAGTGCAGTTCTGCAATTAATATTACATTTTACTTGACGTTTTAAATGGCTTTTGGAAGTTCTCTTTGAATTATACTGATACCTTTTACTCCACCTAGTCAAGCTCTGTTTTGCTAGACTAGACTTTTGGTTTAGTCATTTTTTCACTGAAGTAACTTTGTGTTTATGTTCTAGTAATACTTTCACTTGATTATGGGTTAAGGTTGCTCTACACACCTCTGACAAAATACTATTCAGTTCCTTATAAAATGTGAAAATATATACTTTGTATAGAGTGTTACTTGTTTATTCTGTTCTTGTTTGCCAAATAAATTATGCATGTTTCAATCTTAATTTATAACATCTTTTTTTATCCACCTCTAGAAAGCGTACAAACTTTTACGCTGTTTTTGGCGATTCTATTCAACAGTTTGCCATTTTCATGAAGCCTTTTTTATTTAATATACCAAAATGTGCACAAAAATATGTGGATGGAAACCCAGCTAATGACACTGTGTGTCCTTGTTCAGTAATGAGATATAGCATGTTTCAAATAAATTAATTTTATGTACATTTCCTGCTAGTATGAATGATGCTTGTGCTTGTTTCCCTTTCCTTGTTTTCCTTTTAATTTTTTCCTGCCAGTTAACTTTATGGAGTGAAATTTCGCAATTCAGAGACGTGAAATGGCAGCAGTTCATATAGTTTGGGTAATGTGATTAGACAGTTTGGCATTCTTTGACATTCAGAATTATTGGCCTAATATCTCTGTCCTGTGTGGAGTGTCGTTTCCAGGACTTATATTACTAATATTACTTTAATACTATTTTAAGGGTTTCAAAGACCATGAACACAAAATTAGATTGAATTATCAAAAAATAACCCACAGTTAAAGAACCTTTAATGTTAATGTTACATTTTTAATTTAGCTAATAAGTTTTTGTTCAAATTCCTTGGGCTTTTGGAAGTTCTTATATTGATAACACTTCCTGATTTAAAAATGAACACTGATCGTTGATGGACTTCATCAGTTCGTTGGCCTGCTCCCTCGTTATTGTCTTGAGTTGATTCCAAGTGTTGAATGTTAGTATTTGGTAGCTGTTCATGGGAACATAGGCCACATGTTCAGGGGAAGCATATCACATTAACCCTCAAACATGGTGGAAGCAGTATTATGGTACGGGCATGTATGGCTGCCAATAAAACAAGGTCACTGGTGTTCATTGATGATGTGCCTGCTGACAGAAGTACAGGATGAATTCTGCAGTGTATAGAGCTGTACTTACTGCTCAGATTCAGTCAAATGTTGCAAAATTGATAGGACAGTACTTCACAGTACAGATATCTATTGACCCAAAACTAGGGATGCATCCATACCTTGTTTTTCAGGCCGAGAACGTGTTTTTTGGGCTTTTATGAGTATGAGTTAATAAGCACAATATTGGACTGATACCTGATACTAAATATCGGTATGGATGCATCCCTACTAAAAACATACCATGAAAGTAACCCAAGTGCTTCTTCAGGCAAAGAAATGGAATGTTCTTAAATGGCTGAGTCAGATTACCTGACCTCCACCCAACTAAGCAAGCTTTTCACTTACTGAAGACAAAACTGAAGGCAGGAAGACTCACAAAAAGCAGCAACTGAAGGCAGCTGCAGTAAAGGCCTGGCAAAGCATCTCAAGGGAGGACACTCAGCTTTTGGTGATGTCCTTGGGTTCCAGACTTCAGGCAGTCATTGACTGCAAAGGATTTGCATCTAAGTATTAATAATAATGTATTTATAATTGTGTTTGTCCAATTTTTTTCAAGCCTGTGAAAATGGAATGTAGTATTTAAAATTGAATGTTATGTAAAAAATGGCTGTAATCCCTAAACGGTTAATGCAATATTTTTGTGAAACCCTTTGAATTAAAACTGAAAGTTTTAAAAAGTCTACACTTCAATCGCACCTTTACTGCTTCGTTTTAAATTCATTGTGGTGGTCTCGTTGTCCAAATACTTATGGACTGTGTAGTGTGACTGGATCTAAAACAGGCCATCCTGAATTAGGCTTGTCTAATTTTACATATTTCACATATTTTTTACATTACAGTCACACATTGTCAGCGTCGTCTTTGCTTCTCAGACTGTTGTTCCTATCAGACCTTTGTTTTGTTTTAATGGGCTAGTCTGGGTAACCACAAGCTTTCAGGTCTTCTCTGGCCCTGCAGACATGTGCAAACAATATTGCTATGGCCTGTGTTGTTGGAGTAAACCTGTCTGTGAAAAAAAACCTGTCTGTGTATCTGATACATTTGGAATGAAACAACCACTTTGTAAGCGAACGGCCCAACAATGGTCTAAATTGCTTCTAATGTAGTGGTTTTCAACTGGTAGGTCACAAAAAAAAGTAGGTTGCAAGGATGCACAGGTGTGTTCTTCATCCTAGGTTCTATGTTTTTGTAAGTTTACAGAACTTTGAACTGTACAAATTTATTTTGGAAGGAATGTGATATTTTCTGCTTGGGTAGCCTAATGCTAAAAAGCAACTTGTAGGCCGATGTGAAAATGAGAGTAGCATGAAAATTAGCACAGTAAAAACACAGTTATACACAACTCTAAGGTACCTTAAAATCAAAATATGACAACTGTATTATTAAAAATATGAAAACTATTTATGGCAACTGGGAAATCTTTCTTATACTCAAGACAAAACAGAGGGTCTGAAACCACAGTGTGTTTTGTGTGGTATCAGCAAATGAAAATATGAAATTCTTTTAAGCTTAAGCACCTTTTAGAAAGAAGAGACAAACTCTGTTTTTGAAAGAAACAGAAGCTCGACACATCTTACTGAATCAAGGTGGTGTTTGTCTGTGGTGGTGGTGGGGGGGTGTTGTGCTGTCTGTGGGTAATCACCCATGCAACACCACCTTTTCGGCTTCTTAGAATGATCATATTTTCTTCATCCCAGCACCTTAGCACGGTTTACACCTTAAGTCTTCAAAGACTTCAGCATGCCTGAAGACATGACAGGTGTGAATTAACCACAGAGATATAAGTTTTTTTTCTTTTCACACGCACACACTTATTTATTTATTTATTTAAACACACCGATCAGGCATTACATTATGAGCACCTCCTTGTTTCTACGCTCATTGTCCATTTTGTCAGCTCCACTTACTATATAGGTGCACTTTGCAGTTCATTTGGATCACTCAGCACTGCAGTAACACTGACATGGTGGTGGTGTGTTAGTGTGTGTTGTGCTGGTGTGAGTGGATCAGACACAGCAGTGCTACTGGAGTTTTTAAACACCTCAGTGTCACTGCTGGACTGAGAATAGTCCACCAACCAAAAATATCCAGCCAACAGCGTCCTGTGGGCAGCGTCCTGTGACCACTGATGAAGGACTGGAGGATGACCAACACAAACTGTGCAGCAGATGAGCTATCGTCTCTGACTCTACATCTACAAGATGGACTGACAAGGTAGGAGTATGTAATAGAGTGGACAGTGAGTGGACACAACTCCAGCAGCACTGCTGTGTCTGATCCACTCATACCAGTACAACACACACTAACACACCACCACCATGTCAGTGTTACTGCAGTGCTGAGAATGATCCACCACCCAAACAGTACCTGCTCTGTGAGGGTCCATGGGGGTCCTGACCACTGAAGAACAGGGTAAAAGGGGGCTAACAAAGTATGCAGAGAAACAGATGGACTACAATCTGTAACTGTAGAACTACAAAGTGCACCTATATAGTAGGTGGAGCTGATAAAATGGACAGTCAGCGTAGAAACAAGGAGGTGGTCACAATGTTATACCTATACACACATGTTGTATTTAAGTTCTACAAAAGGGTTACGCACCTATGATTTTCACTCATTTTGCACCTGTGTAAATGTGATGTGACAACAAATGTGATTTGATTTGACTGATCTGAATTGACAGGGACTGTTCTCTTCCATGCCTTTACATACTACCAATTCAAATGACTTGGTTCAGTGATGTACTTTCATAGCCCTTAAGTTTTGATAGTGATACATTGAGACATACTTAAGCTATTTTGGGGCACTCTTCAGATACAAGTCATGTCTAGGCATGCACACATATGGTTTGTGTGAGGTTTCAAATTTGGTTGCTAATGACTTCCCTCATACTGTATCGGTTTCCAGTAACACAAATAAATGCAATAGGATCAGGACTGCAGTAAACTCGGCTGTAGAATCACCTCAGCTCACTCCTCTGTAGGATGCAGTACACCACGCACTAGCATTTTACAGAACTGTGGTTAGACACTTGGTTTAACAGCATGAGCATGGCAGGTTTGACTGCTCTCGTGTGCAGTGTCTACGTTTATGAAACTCACATGGAAACCCCAAACAATGCTATTGTACTACTTTAGAATGATCAGATGTTCAGCAGATTTTCTTTATAACATACTGTACACTTTAGAGCAAGCTTAGTTAAAAAGCATTCAACTAGTGTTTTATTCTCATTTGGTTATATAAACCTCACTTTTAAATAGCTTTTAAATTCAGTGGTTACAGTAGTACTGTAATAAAAAAGAAAAACTGCGTTATTCACCTACAGTTTATGTAACTGCTTCTTAGTGCATATGTGCTCTGAATTTCTGCTGAAATACATATTACAGGCACAGACTGAAATGATAAGGTTTTATTGTAGAAGCTATGAAGATTAATCAAAATTAGGAAATACCACCCCACCATCGTGAAGTGTATGATCTTCTGCAAGCTTTAGCAGAGTTAGAATAAAAGCTGTGGTCAGTGCAAATTCAAGTCCCACTTCCTCTCTTCTACTGAACTGCCTTCAGTAGAACTGCAGCAGACACCTTGTGAAAAGCTTTAAGGTGACAGCATGAATTTACAGATTCAGATGTGCAAGTTTATTTTCTTTTTTGTTAGTTTAATTCTGCTTACATGTAAAACATTTATTATTACTATTTTTACTACTACTACTATTACAACTTCTAATAATAATAATAATAATAATAATAATAATTTTGTAGTACATCTAGTTGTTATTCTGACCTATTTTGAATGTGAAGGTTATTCTTACGTTGCTGTTTTCTCTTTGTAGGTTTCCTCATATGGTTTGAAGCAGTTACAGGTTTGAAAATGGGAGGAAACATAACAGTAAAGTGTGATCTTGCCAATCGTACAAGTAACACAGCAATATTTTGGTGCATTGAAACAATGCAGCGCCCCAGACCTGACACTACGCTCTTTTAGTGATGGTGAAGACAGGCTTTGCTATTACAACACAAAGAGGAGTTTTTATTGAAAGTGAATAACTCTTTATTGATCCAAAACACAGAAGATGAACTGGGGGATTATTACAGCA